GGACCACTTCCGCCCGCTCGTATAAGATCTTGCGAATCACTCTGGGCAGGAGTGAGGTCGGGGGAAAGGCGTAGAGAAGACCCGCCGGCCATGGAATTCGAAGAGCGTCGACGCCCGCCGCCTGAGGATCTGGGAATCTGGCGAAGAACTGTTGCAGCTGAGCATTCGTGTGCGTTGCAAAGAGGTCGATCACCGGCATGCCGAACCTCCGAGACAGCTCCTGGAAGAATCGGGGATGGAGGCGCCACTCCGCGTTGTCCACTCGACGACGACTCAGCCAGTCCACTTGGGAGTTGTCCGCTCCGGAAATATGCTCTGCCCGAAGGGAGCAAAGGTGCCGCTCTGCCCAGAATCCCAGTCGCAGGGCCAGCAGAAGAAGTGACCTCGACCTGGTCCCCCCCAGCTTGTTCAGGTGCGCTTTTGCTGCAACATTGTCCGTCAGAACGAGGACGTGTGAGTTGGAGACCAGGCTTCGGAATGCCCTGAGAGCCAGGAAGATCGCCTGTAGTTCCAGCCAGTTGATAGGGCGACGGGACTCTGCCGGGCTCCAAGTGCCCTGAGCCAACTGACCTTGGCAATGGGCCCCCCAACCGAGGAGGCTGGCATCTGTGGTTACTATCACCCTCTGAGGCTCCAGGAAAAACGACCCCGCAGCTAGGGCCGGGGAACGCCACCACCGCAGGGACCGACGAACCGCCGGAGGGACCGGAACCGGCCTGAATGAAGTGCCTCTGCCCGCCTTCTGCAACGGCAAGAGAAACCATTGAAGTTCCCGTGCGTGCAGTTGTGCCCAGGGAACTATGGAGATGGCAGAAATCATTTTCCCTAACAGTTGGGAGAGGACAAGAGGGGAAATGGCCCTGCAGGATTCCACCTTGGAAACTAACTGGCGGATACCCGCCTGCCTATCGGGGGACAAAAACACCCTACCCTGAACCGTGTCGATCAGGGCTCCCAAATGGACCAAACTGGTGGAAGGAGAGAGGTGACTCTTATCTAAATTAATCGAGAAACCATGGGCCGCCAACGTCTCTACTGTGAGACGAACGTCCGACACAGCCTGAGCAACAGAAGGGGACAACAAGAGGATATCATCGAGGTAGCATAAAAGTCTAACAGAACGGACACGAAGAAATGCCGCTAAAGCAGCCAGCACCTTCGTAAAGGTACGGGGGGCAGAGGAGAGACCAAAAGGTAACGCCCTATATTGATAATGGACCCCCCCGTAACAAAATCTCAAAAAACGTCTATGGGAGGGAAGGATAGGGATGTGCAAATAAGCCTCTGTAAGGTCTATGGAAGAGAGGAGATCGCCCCTCCGAACACCGGCTAGAATAGTTTGTAAGGATTGCATTTTGAATTTACGGTACACCACGTACCTATTTAAGCGTTTCAGGTCCAAAATAGGGCGCCACCCCCCTGAGGATTTGGGAACCAGGAAAACCCTGGAATAGAAACCCTGATGCTCCTGGCCCACAGGGACGGGTTGAATAGCTCTAATGGTCAGGAGATGGTGAATCGCTGCGTCCATGAGGGACTTTCTTTCCAAATTACGAGAAATCGGACAACAGACAAAGGAGTCAGGGGGGGTGGAGACAAATTCGATAGCTAGACCCGAACGAAGAGTGGCTAAGACCCACTGATCGGAGGTGGACCGTTCCCAGGCGGCTACGAAAATGGCCAATCTGCCGCCAATGGGAGGATTAGAAATGTAATTAGCACCGGCGACGGATGAAACGACCTCCTCCCCCTTGAAAGGGCCGCTTAGACCCTAACGATCTACCCCGGAATCCCCTATCTTGCGAGCCCCGCTGTCTGCCAAAATTTGTGTACGGCCGGGGCGAGGGGAAGGAGGAGGAAGAAGGCCCACCAACAGAGTTACCTCGAAGGTGGGGTCGAGGGGGATATGGAGAGAAGCGGGAATCCCCCCTGCGGAAAACCGCCGCCAAAACCTTCCGTTTGTCTCTGGTTTCAGTTAAAAAGGGATCTAAGGCGTCCCCAAACAAACGGGACCCCCCAAATGGGACCGAGGCGAGCTTCCATTTATGCCTGGCGTCCGCCTGCCAATGTCGGAGCCAGGTCAAACGGCGAGCCGTCACAGCAGAGGCCAGCGATTTGGCCGCAAAACGAGCAGCGCTGAGAGTGGAGTCCGCTGAAAACTGAACCGCAGCTACAATCTTATTGAGGTCATGCTTAATACGAGCATCTTCCGGTGACAATGTCTCTTGTAACTGGCGGAGCCACAACAACGTGGAGCGGTTAAAGAAAGATGCTGTAGAGGCCGCCTTAATGGCCCATGCTGCCCCCAGATGGGCCCTTTGGAAGACCATCTCAGCACGGCGTTCATCAGGTCGTAAGTTCTCAGCAGGATCGCCCGGCACAGCGGCAGAAGAGAGAAGAGCAGCGATGGGAGCATCTATTGACGGGAGCTGCAGAAGAGTGTCCAGGTCAGATGCGACCTGGAAATTAGTACGGTCAGATGAAGAAGGGATAGGAGCTGACGCTGGGGAAGTCCACTGCCGTTTCACGACATCCAGGAAAAGTGGAGGTGTAGGAATGGTTGTAATCGGTTTGGGCGGCTCAGCGAACATCGGGTCCAAAGTTCCAGACGGCCCAGAAACAGAAGGATGGGAATCAGGGGAGGAAAGCCGAGCCGTATTGACGGCTTTGAACAGAAGAGACCTAAACAAGGCCTGTGGAAAAAGGGCCGTAGACACCGGCTGATCAGGTGGAAGGTTCTCGTCATCTGACAACCCAGAGTCACCGTTGTCACTGATGTCCGCATCCGACAGGGGGGAGAGTTGACCAGCATGGGAGCAGGAAGGAGAGCGAGGTGGCCTGGGAGGTGCATGACCAGAAGAACGAGGCTGCTCTGGTGAGGCCGACCGAACAGATCCAGCAACACTGGATGGACGACGACCCGCTGCCAAAGTCTTTTGCACTGCAGCCTCAATCATCTTTTGCAGATGGTCGGAAGACAGGGGACAACTCACCGCGTCCTGAGGCAGGACAGGAACCAAGGGAACCGCAGAGGTGTCAAGAGGAGGTGGAATATCAGGAATCTCCTCATTCGCAGGCGGTGCAGTGACAAGGTCCGCCGGAACAGAGCCCCACAAATTTGAAGTGGAGATGGTGACCGGGCAGTCCCTGAGAGACAACTGGTCCGGAGTCGCCGGCCGAGAATACTGCAGCGGAGCAGAAGTTGTTGAAGACTGAAGATCAGAGCTCGCCTTGGCGCAAAGTTGGGTAAGGACTCTGTCCCTCCGTTTTTCCACTCTTTCCAGCGCACTGCCATGCTTTCTGTTCTTGTGATGGGCGTGAGAAGACGGGGCAACAAGTGACTGCGCTGGATCTTGAAACGAGGCAGATTCATCCTCTGACTGCCTCTGAGAAGCAGAGCTATGCTTACGGCCATGTTTGGATTTGGCCAATGACTTTGGCATAATGACAGATCCCAAGACAAAAGCAGCAGTCACAAAGTGAGGACCCGGAGGGGAGCGCGGCAACTCCACTAAGTTCCAGCCCTGGGCACACGATCCAGAGGGCGAACAGCAGGGGGAGCGCAGCCACTCCACAAAATGGCCGCTGCAAGAAGAAAGCAGCAATGGAGGCTGGCAAGGGCAGCGGGGATACAGTAAGTTCAACAGCCAAGGAAGGGGGCGCGAAGCTCCACGAACACCCGCACAGCCAGCCCAGTCAAGAACAGTCCAGACAGTTGCCCTTTAAATCTGACCACAGCTTTCAGAAGGAGAAAAACAGCTCAGAGACAGTCGCAGGGAAGTTGGTGGGGGGGGGGGCGCGAAAACCCCACTCTCCAACTTAATTGATAAACAGGCAGGAAGCCCCCCAGGAGCTGCAGCAGGGAAGACAACTAGGGAGGCACGGCAGCAGCGAAAATAACTCCCACTAAAGAGCTCCGTTGGAAGCCACCGCTTCTTCAGAGGGAGCCTGCAGCCCCGGCTCAGCTGTTGGTCGGCTATCAGCGCTGCGCTAATTAACTCAGCAGGTGATGGTCGGAGCGGCTTGAAATAAGCGCTAGCAGCAGCGTGGGCAAGCACCAAGAAGAAGCCACCAGTAATCACGAAGGGCAGGCAATCTAGCTTCCAGGGAGGTGGATTCAAAGTCCAAAGCAGCAGGCAGCAAGTTCTTTAAAGTTTAGAAGTTGCGTTTTGGAGCGGAGGGCTTCAAAATGGCCGCCGCCACAGAAACGGCGCGAAAAAACGGCCGAGAAGACAATTAGGAGGCCCTGGGGGAAGCGGTCAGCAAGGAGAGTCAGGTCCTGAGGAGGTAGCTGCCAAGCCTGGCAGGGAGCCCCAGGAAGCCCCCCCAGGGGTCCCCAAAGAGAGAAAACAAAAAGCCCTCACAGCAGAGGCTTAACAGTTCTAAAGGGGGAAAACACAGGGCAAAAAAACTTACAAAGTCCAAAGGCAACCAAGTCCACAGGGAGAAGCAGAAGAAAGGTCAGAAACAGTCCAGGTTCAAAAAGACCAATAAATCCAAAAAGGAGAGATAGTTTGTAGAAAAGCAGTCAGAGCTACAGACCCACACGCCAGTCCAACTGAAGGACTGAGCCAAAGCTGGGTCTGCCCGGCAACAGAGGCGGGACTTAAAGTTGTTGGCTGACTCAGTCCTTCAATCTGATTGGATGAGTAGTACCCACACTGGCTGCTGTCTCCACTCTCAATGGAGAAATATGTTATGTATGTATACATTTATGAATAAATGTTGTTTATAGATGGCGACTTACAATTCCTCCTTTGCAAATGCTCTAGACTCTAGAGCACGGGTGTCAAACTCGGCGTGTCACGTTGCCGTCACATGACATATCGCAACGTCTTTTCCCTTTGTGGAGCTGGGGTGGACGTGGGCTGCCAGTTTGACACGCCTGCTCTAGAGCCCTCAACTCTCCAAAGTCAATGGGGATAGGATGTTCTGTCCCCGTACCATGCACACACCCAACCAGCCAGCCGAGGGTTAAATAAACTCTTCAAACACTCAACCTCAGTGATAAGGAACTTGGCAGCAACTCCGTGGCTGCCTGCCAAAAACTTTTACTCCGATAATACAGACAAAAATACACACAGTTTGAATAGTCCAGTTTGTAATTAAATCCACAGCAAATAGGTGTTGTGTCCGAAGGTGCAAAGTGCCTCGCCAGAGATTAGCTTTGTCTGTCACAGAGTCTGAATGGCCACCACACTCCCTTTTATAGCCTGTGGGGTGTGGTCCAGTGACTCAGGTAATCTCTGGCACGCCTTCCCCTTTGCTGCACACGCTTCTCCCTGCACCTCTGGCGAGGGTCCAGCCAGCACTTATTTTCCTCGTCGCTGTCCACCTGTGGCTGCGGGGACGTGCTTGGCTCTAAGCCTATCGTTTGGCCTTCTGTGTCCTCCGGAGGCATTGCCAGAGGAGGGTCCTGGAGAGGGAGGCCTTGCCAACTCCTCCCCCTCACTCTCAGAGTCTGCATCTGTCGATAGCCCAGGCTCAGGCAACGGAGCCACAACACTGGACAAGAAATAAGAGAATCTGTTACACTGCAGTTGCTACTTTTGTTAATGTAATGGACATGATTAAAAATAATTTGCTGTCTGTAATGGGAATTTTACAACCTGTAAAGTTTCAAATAATATGGCAAATGTAATAAAATACTGTATAAACTGAACTAAGTTGTTTTACTGTTAATTTCTTGGTCCTGATCTTAGCCCTTTGTAGTATAAATCACAGCACACCACTTAAAAATCAACAGCTTTAATTGTGAGAAATTACATCTAGATGATAAATGTAAAACTATTCTTTCCTATTATGGAATTGTTCTGGAATTGAGCTGCTGCTAAGATTTTATACTTTCTTATGTTATGATCAATATTTCAGCTAGCAATGTAGTAAAATGCATATATGAATGCTATTAGATTTAGACTTATATTGTAAGAAAAAGAGTGTACAGTAATTTCATACAGATTATTTTGTTTAAATTTAAACTGACATAGAAATGGATCAGAATGGACTTATTAGTGAATATTCATGAAACTGACCCAGATCAGAGACAGAATGCTGGGTGGACTCTTGAGTACGGTGGTTAAGGCATCAAAGAAAAAACTGGGAGTCCTTGAGTTAGACATAAAACCAGTTGAGTGGGCAGTCCCAGTAACTCTATCTTAGCACTAGGAAAGAGGCAATAGCAAATTACTTCTGAAAAACCTTGTCAAGAAAAAGCAGGTGTTCACCAGGAGTTAACACTGACTCAGAGAAAATTATCGATGTACATTTTAGTAAGTATTAATGTACATTTTAGTAAGTTCTGACTTAATTTGTATTGACAATATTAATGATTTACGTATCAGATTTCCCAAATTGTTGTATTTTTCCTCTCTGTTTCCAGATTGATCCAAGGTACATTGACAGTCAACCCTTTGATTAATGCCACTGTCCACTTACGTTTGAATTGTTGGTACAGTGGTACTGAAGGCATTTCTTATGAGCTGAAATTCATACTTTGAAGCATGTCTATGATTAGGTCACCTCAATTGGACCAAATGTTACATTAAACTTTTTTTCCTATATAAACAACTGATCTCCCAATTCTTAAACTGTTTCCAAAGTTTGCATTACAAAAACAACGAGCAATTTAATTCATCAAAACAGAGGAGTACAGGGCAGGGGTGAAATGTAAAATTTGTTACTACCGATTCTGTGGGCGTGGCTTGGTGTGGGGGTTAATGTGACTGGGTGGGCGTGGCCAACTTTTTTTAAAAAAAACTTTTCAGAGCATTTTTTCTAATGCTTTGAAAAGCCTCTGCCAATCAGGCAACTCAGCTGGGATCGTCAGAGAGGCATTTTAAAAAATATCTCTCTGACGATCAGGCAACTCAGCTGGGAGTTGCCAGAGACTTTTCAAAGCATTTTTTTTACCACCTCTTTGGCCAAGAGATTGCAGAAAAAAATGCTTTGAAAAGCTTGATGATCCCAGCTGAGCTGCGTGATCATCACAGGCTTTTTTTAAAAAAACTTTTAAAAGCATTTTTTCTTCGGAAGAGGTTGTAGAAAAAATGCTTTTAAAAGTAAAAGAAAAAGCCTCTGATGATCGCGCGGCTCAGCTGGGCATGGGGAGGGCCGCGCAGGGATTTTTGCTACCGGTTCTCCGAACCACCCGCCATCACTACTGGATCTGGCGATCCGGTCCAAACTGGGAGCATTTCACCCCTGGTACAGGGACATAACCTGCTTTCCCACCTTTTCCATATCTAGAGAAAGCAGCTTCATAATGGGTTCTGAAAATAATTTGACTCATACATCAAGTTAAATGGAAATCTACATTTATATAATATATTTTGCATCATAAAAATACTTTACTTTTAAATATATATATTAAGTTTCTGTAGATTTTTAACCTTTCTAAGAATTTTTCTGCCATTCAGAAAGGATTTCAGTTGAAAGAATTGACTTGGGAAATAAAAATTAAGCTGAGGTAGGATAAAATGTTTCTAATAGCTATAGATTATTGGATATCATATCAGAAATGTTTTCAGAGCCTAAGATTTTTTAAAAAATAAAAGTACTGGATTAAACTGTAACCTTCAGAGAAGAAAGGTTCTTGGTTATGTGTTCCACCAATACATTTAGAAAGGCCCTCAGAGTTTCTATTAAAGTCTCAACATAATATCTGAACTAAGGCTTTGAGTAATTAATCAGAAATTAAGACATAGAGATAAACTTAAAGATGCTATTATTGCTTTTGGGTGTATAGACCAATGCTATTCTTCCACAAATAAGCTCATTATATGGTGGAACACATTAAATGTTATTTTCTATAATAAAATACTTTTGAAGATTTATATTAATAATGTATGAAGCTTTTATTGTTTTGGTCTTACTACTGCTGTTCTTGAATTATTATATAAGCCTCTGATTGGTTTATGATTGTTTATATTATATTCCTGATTCTATTTATTATAAATATTGAAGCTGTAAGAACACAGGAATCTACCTTACACTAAATTATATCAGTAGTTCATTTACCTCCGTATTAAGTTTTGACTGAGATTGATTCTTCAGACTTTTTTCAGCCTTATATGGGAATTGACAAGCATTGAATCAGGAATCCTATGTATGCAATTGAGTCCTCTCCTCCTCGATGCGGATATGGTACAAAATCTGCAAACATTTGTTACATACTGTTCGATTTATGAGTTTTATGAATAAATTCAATCGTGTCCACTAACTAGCTAGTAGTCGATAAGAAACAGCATTTTTACTATAGGATATAGATGGTCAGACAGTATGTTACAGTCCTCTACTAGCAACAAACCACTACAAATGGTTATATGTATAAGTTCATATTTGTGTGTGTGTGTGGCAGAGAGAAATCATTGTCTGCAAATTTATTGTTTTAGGACAGGGGTGTCAAACTCATGGTCCGCAGCCCGGTTTAGCGAAGGGGTCAAAGTCACGATACGTCATATGATGATGCCTTGACAATGCGAGTTTGACACCCCTGTTTTAGGACAAAGCAATGGGGCAACTGTTTTATTTGTTATTTATTTATTTATTTATTTATTTATTTATTTATTTATTTATTTATTTATTTATTTATTTATTTATTATCCCATTTGGAGGAAGAAATATTAGGTATGTTTACTGGCTTGACTTATTTATTTATAAAGATAATACAGAGGCGATGCCACATCTAAATTATGGTCCGATGTTTTAAAAAAATTAGAATTATATATTCTTTATATTCAAAGCAGTAAATCTGATCAATAAAATCTCAAGAGCAGTTTCAGTGGTCTGAGTTTCTCCATGTGTTGCTATTTACCTCAATGGATGGATGGATGGATAAATAAATAACACTGTCATTGAATACAGAGTCACTTGTTCAGATGAGCAGCTACAGAAATCAAATCAATTTATAAATAAATATTTCCCAATTAGTCCTTCAGAATCTTAAAAATCCCCTACTTATATGTCAAAGAACTACAGACAGGACTAATACAGTTTCATCTGCTTTCTATTCATCAAAAGGTTGCCCAGCCTTGATCTAAAAAACCCCTACCCTAACTCTAACTTTAATTTATTTTTATTCTGTTCCCATATATCAATAGGGGGATGGCGGATTATCATTTAAGTATTTTCTAAGTGGCAAAGTAAACAAAAGTAACAAAGCAGAGGCTGAGTTTTGTAATATACATTCAAAAAGGGATAAGTCCCAAGAACAATGACAAGCAGTGGCTCCATCCCTTAAATACTTTTATGTCACAATACAATAAAGATTATGGTATTTTGGTTTTATTGTCGCTTAACTTTTCTTCTGTTAAAATGAACATCTCCCAAAAATAGTATCTATGTGAACATCAATTCAATTACTGCAATTCAATTAATTCAACATCTACAGTAGAAAGTTATAGATGGAATCCAGAATGTGTATCATTACACTAAGAAATGCATACTAGATTATTTAAAGTCCCTGTAAGAAAACAACTAATAAACACTTTAATTTCCAAAAGGATTGCAGATGACTATGCTAATATCTTTCAGGGGTGAATGAGCTTTTGATCTTCCAGGGATGGAAGGTGATTATGGGCTTTTAAAAATGTGTATGGATACTTTTGTTTCAGTTATGTAAAGTTATATTATTTATTTAGATTTTTAAAAATCCCACCTTTTATTATTTTTACAAATAATTCAAGGAGGCCAACATATCTAATATTCTTTCCTTTTCCTATTTTCTGTACAACAATAACCCTGTTGAAGTGAGCTGGACTGAGAGAGTGACTGGCTGAAAGTCACCCATTGTTCTGCCCCAGCTACGGACCCCAAAGAACGCAGCACGCACAAAGTCTGTACAAACCTTAGTTTACTAAATTAAATCAGACTTTTTCAAACAAAGGCTGTTAATTAACTTTCTTAACAGCCTTACAAGAATCCAAAGAATAAATAATCGTAATCTTACTATGGTTGGCAGACAGCCCAGAAACAATTTGCAGAGAACTAAGATCAAGGAGTGAAGGAGAATGAACGCAGTTGTTCCCTGCAAATTGCCTCAGTCATCATCCTTCCTTAAATAAGCTGAGGGAGTGGCCAGTTAGCCCCAAGCCTTACTCTCGAGGAGAACTCCTCTTGAGGAGCCACTCCTGCCTTTTGGCAGCTCTGTGCGCCCGTGCATCGAGAAGAGGCCCCTCCTCTTCTTCCTCTTCACTTATGGGAGCTTCTGGAGGTTCTGAAGGCCCTGGCTGAATCCCCGTCTCTGGCACCACATCTTCTCCAGCCTCCTCATTGTCTGACTCGAGTGCCAGCTGCACAGGCTGCTGGCGCAGCACCACATCAGCCTCCTTGCTGTCAGAATCAGCTACTAGCTGCACAGGCCATTGATGGGCCACAACACCCATTTGGCTTTCATGCGTAAGGCAGGACTAGACACATAATCTCCTGCTTTCTAACCTGGTGCCTTAAATATTACACTGAATTGGCTATTGTATTATTAATAAAAATGCCAACAAACCAGCATAAAT